TAGGGCTTGATAATGCCAATGGTTGAGTGAGTAACTTTTGAAGTCCTATAGAAGTCACTGGAACTCCTCATTTCAATAGTAACCCTCTTGCTTAAGTTTCTGCAAGGACAGATTCAAAAAGTATGCCTTAGCTCAGGGGTAGGCAACGTTTTTTGGCCAGAGTGCCAAAAAAAACACAATGTCTACCTTGGAAGGTGCCCGCATGGCAGAAAAACAAAATGAGGGCAAGGGGTTACATGGCAGGACACACTGCATATTAGTATATCTAATAATCATAAATTGTTGCCTTTGTTGTGTGTTCCATTTTTTGTTAAGCATGTTGCTATGAGAGAGGCACCACAACCCCACCCCCGCTGTCTGCTCTGAGGTGTGTGTGCAGTCACCACCAGCATGGAGCTGATGCTGGGGCTGTGGAGCCCAGTGCAGATGACAGCCTGCCCTCTGCATGCTGCAGCTGCCCAGAGCCCAGGCTGGCTACAAACAGCTGTGCTGGGCTCCAGGGCCCAGACATCAGCTCTGTGCCAGCAGTGGGGGAGAGACTGGGGTTGCGCTACCTCAGGCCCCTCCCTCACCATCTGCTCAGAGGCACGCATGCACCTGCCAGTATGGAGCTGATGCCAGAGCCTGGAGCAGCTGTTTGCAACCTCCAGGATGCAGCCAGCCCTGGCTTTGGGTAGCTGCTGCCAAGCACAGAGCCCAGGGTGCTTGCAGCCTCCCACCCACCTACTGGGAGCAGCCCGGGCTCCATGGCTGGCAGCAGCTACTCAGAGCCAGGGCTGGTGGTGGCATGCCGAGCAAAATGGCCTCATGTGCCATGCTGACCCATGCCTTAGTAACTCACAACTGAAAGGAAAAGCTGAGTTCTGTACCCCATTTCAAAATAGTGCATTCACCATTAACTAAGTAGTGATCATGTAGCTAAAGATTAATGCTATTTTCTGGAGTTGTGGACTAGTGAGAATGTTGGTACAGTATACTAAATGGAATAAAATGGATTATAGCATCTTTCCTGGATATCTGCATATTACAAATATTAAAATTGACAGATACTCTAAGCATGTCAGGAGATCAGGAAATCAAGATATACTTTGGATTAGAATAGCATCAAAAGTAGCTAAAAAATCATAATGAGACACTGGAAAAACTGAACAAATCTCTGCATAATTGACATAACTCTTGTGCTGCAAAGGATTATCTTACATTTATAGGATGGGTTATTTTGAAGAAATACAGGCTTTCAATTCACTTGTTCAATTAGAGGTAAAGCAAAATCATTACAGGAAAAGAGTTTGATTGAAAATTTTAGAAGAAAAGTGTGATAACCATATGGGGCACTGGGTTTCTTTCTTGTTTAATTAATTTTGGTATGTACTGTGTATAAATTCTCACAAGCATAAACTCTGAAGCTTGTAGATGATTTTAAGTGAATATGCAAGATAATTAGATATTTATAAATAGTATACAGTACTTTTTTACTTATAAGAGACCATTAATGAGAGAGAGGAAGCACAGAAAATAATTATATTTTATCTGTTACAGTAATGCAGTTACTACTAATACTTCACTGGCAGAGGTACAAAAGCATTTTTGTTGGGCTTCCCATAAAGTTTAGTAAACTGCATAATTTCTGCCAATAAGCTGCTACAGCACTTTGGCTCTGATCCAGCAATTGGGATCTACCCACACAAAGTCAGTTTCAGAAGTAGGATGTGACAGGGGGCTATCCCCAGGCCTGTCCAATGTTGGCCTGACCCTCTGTTTCTGGGCTAACCACCCACCTTCCATGTGTCACTCATTGATGGAACAATAATTATGATGTTCCTCAGGTGGGAGGCTGCCCATTTCCTACCCTGACACCAGGGGTCGCTATCCACCGCTCCAAACCTTCCCTCCCGGGTGGCCCATGCCTCACAGATGGTATGTAGAGACTATCACTTCTGATTTGGCTTTGATTTCACTGCAGCCCTGTCTCTGTGCCCTCTCCAATGCTAGGGCTCTACACCGTAGTATGCCCCCTGAGGCCTCCTCCTTCTCCTCCTCAATAGCCTCAGTCCAGTCCACCAGCTAAAACAACAACATAAATATGAGCCCCTGGGCTATAACGTAATACAAGCCACACTCTGCTTCTTTAAAATCCCAAACTGCTCCTTGAGTATTAAGTGCCTCCCGGCCCTGGGTACCTTGTAGACTCCTGGAGCCTCCTTAGCCCTGTAAACAGTCTATCCAGCAGCCACAGCATTCCTGGGTAGATCTTCCCTGCAGGAGCTCCTTCCCCTGGCAGCTTGCTAGAGAACTCATTCCTGCCAGCCTCGGCCCTGGGGTTTATATGTGCACAGAGCCCTATCTCCTTTATGTGTGGTTGGGCATGTAAATGTATTTAAGACCCCAGTCCCATAAATGAGAACTGGTGCATGGTCTATGAAGTCTAGCCACATAGTTAAAATCACAGGATCAGGGCCCAGATTATAAATTGGTGCCTAGTAATTCATGGTAAACATACAAAGACTCGAGCCAATTGTTAAATTCCACTGAATCTCATAAAGCTTTTGAAGATGCTTTGGAGGAAGTCTGCACTTAAGCCAAATAACACTGCCCTCTTTAGTGTGATTGAAGAGACATGTAATTTTTACATGGAGGGCTCAGTAACCTGAGAATTTAAATTAAAAACTCTATGTAACAGGGAACGCTCTCTCTAAATTGGGGGCTTAATCCTCTAACATAGATGCATACTAATAATTTTTATTGCCATTAATTACAGAAGCAACTGTAGGCCTCAGCTAAGATCATGATCAGGGCTAACAGTTTTTTAGAGGTATGGACCTATGCCACTAAAAATAGTACGGCTAAATAAAGCAAGTCTGGCATTGTAATGGGAAGCTCAATAGCATACTTTTTTGAAGGAGGAACAAATAAGAGAATTACTTTTCTTTTCTCTGTGACTCAAGGTGATATTGGAAGCAGGGCTTTATCATTTAAAATACCTTTTTTAATAAAAAAAAAGTAAATCCCTCAAATTTATGAATACTACTTATTCTATATTTGGATTAGCAAATGATGTATCATTTGCCTAAAATAGGAAAAGGTTGCTTGAATGTAACTAGTGTTAATAGTCAGAGGGATACTCAACACGGGCCTATTAGCAATTTTTTTTTGTTTTTAAATAAAAGGCCCCACACAAACCACAACACTTGGTAATCTTCCACTGGTAAAACAACCTTTCAGTGTTTTTCATCTGCTGTGCTGCAAGAACAGGAACAGGGGTGAGTCAGGAATTGTAACATCATGCTGGGAGCATTCATTTTGTCTTAATTGTCACAGCCAGTCTCCATCAGTTTTTAGGCTGGCCCTCCTAGTGCCCCCAGTGTAATGGTATTAGAGGAGCTTAGCAGCTGAGGCACAAGGAGGAACTTGCCTAACTACCAAGGACAGCTAGTCACAATAGATAGACTCAGCATGTTGTATGTCCCAGGCTGTTCTGTCTCCCCTCCCTCCTCTTTCTCTGTATTAGCTGCGAAGACCTAAAAATCTTTCCCCCAGGTTGGGAAAGCGCTGCTGTCACAGATCTGCCCCAGGGGAATGTTGTATAGACTTTTGCTAAGGCTGAACTATTCTATTTGCATTTTCACAGACCTGCATTTTGCATATTGGCTTCTGTTCTACCCAGGAGAGCCCCCCAAACACCAACAGACTTTCACTATGCCTGAAGACGGGGATTTGTACTTGAAAGCTTGCAAAAAATTATTTTTCCAACTATTTAGTTGGTTTAATAAAAGATATCACTTCTACCCAAAGAACCTTGTCTAGTTAGGTCTCTGGCACTATAGTGTTGTTCCAATGGCCCTCAACCTTGTTAGCCTAAAGGCACCCCCAGAAAGACTTGAAGCACCTTTGGGAAAATGCTGGCTCTTGGTTTTCACTGTTTTTTAACTGTGGACAATAATAAAAAAAGAGCAGCTCTTCTGCTGCAAAGAGCTCAGAAAGCCCACAAATGGGCAGGAGGTTTTTCTTGAGGCTACGGAGACCTATTTGAAGCCTCTGGGTGGGTCCTGTGACTTGGGGGGCACGTGCATTTACATCACATTAAATATACTGCACATTAATGCTGTGTGGGGTCTGATTTCAGACTGAAGTTAGTCCCAAGTAAGACCACACACACAGTGCAACTGTGCAGTACGGCATCTACACATGCGTTACTGTGCAGTACCTAATTGGGCATAAATTTGACACCTGCATCATACAAGTGTCAAATTTACACTCAAACTGGTTGGTGTACATTGCCACAGTTACTGTGCAATATGGGCGTGCATGTGTAGACACCCTCCTGTACTGCATAGTAATTTAGGTTACTGTGCAGTAAATGTGCATGTGTAGACGTGCCCAGGCTTGCACACCTAACAGTGCCGAGACTGACAGCCCTGACAGGATCCCAAGTTGCTGTCAGGGAGCCAGGAGACCGAGAATAGCGCTCTTCTGCCCGGGCCCTTGGGGCTGCTGTTGCCACCAGTCACCCACATTCAAACCCTTCTTGTCAGGCGCAACTCAGCCCAGGCAGTCCCAGGCTGCAGCGGGCGGCCCAGCCCTGGGCAGGGGTACAGGGCAGGGCAAGGCGGGCTGGAGGAGCGAGAAACCCAATCCCTGCACCGCGTTGGCCGGTACGATGGGGGATAAGTCTGGCGTGAGGGGGCGGCCCCAGGGCCACCGGCAGGTGTGCGTCATGAGAGCAGCCTCGCCCCGCCTGGGCCGCCCGCAGCCAATCAGCGGCTCGTGTCAAGCTCTCGCGAGAGCCGGGCGTAAACAGTCCGCCAGCCGCGCGCCACCCCTCCCTCCCTGTGCCCGGGCTGTGGACAGTGCGCGGGGAGGGGGTAGGCGGCAGCTACTGGCCGCGCGGGTGAAGTGGGTGTTCCCCCCTACTCCCTTCAGCTGCCGGGGAAGGGGTGTGGTGCTGCCGCCCGTGGCGGCTCGAAGCACCTGTCGCCCCCGCCCGCCTGCCCTTCCCCCTCCTCCGACGCGGGCTGCGGGCGGGCAGGTCCCTCCGCGAGCGGGCGCCGCGGGATCCGTGGACCAGGCGCTTCCTTCCCAAAAAGAGCCCTGAAGGTAACTCAGAGAGCCTCTCTTTTTCTTGGGGGAGCAGATCTCTCTGTCGGTCGGCTCCGCTTCTGCTGCTGGCATCTTCTCCGGGAGGGAGAGGCTGAAACGCACAGGGAAGCGGGCGGGTCGCTGGGGCTTCTCTGGATGGGCTGGAAATGGCTCGAATGGCAATGCAGGTGTCCGCTGGAGAGTCCTGTCCAGGCCCCCAGTACTGCAGCGCCCACCTGAGCAGGAAGCCCTCTTTGGCTGGCTTAGCCCAAGCCTGCCCTTAGTTAAAGTTCAAGACCCTTTTCTTGATGTGTTTGTTCCCATGGTTGGGGTAGTATTGAGATCAGGTGCTTTTGTTAATTGGCTTCTTGCTCATTAATAGAGGGTGTAATTTTGAACGGATCCGTGATGCGTGTTCTGCTGTATGTGGCTTTCTCCTGGTGTCTCATTGCAGTGTTGGCTGTAAACTGCATTGATGGGGGTAGAACCTATGCAGGAATGGGCCTGATGCCAGTGACTTAATGCTTTACACAAATTCACCAAAGTTTGGGGCTGGAAGGGACCTCATGAGATCATCAGGTCCAGCCCCCTGCTCTGGGGAGGAAAGATTGCTGGGGTCAAATAACCCCAGCAAGGAGTTGTGCATAGCTCGTGAAGCAGGTCTCTGAACAGACAGAAAACTTATAACTGGTTTTCTCTCTTCAGTCCATGGAACTGCAAGTAGTTAAACAGTGTCAGGTTTTGTTTTAATCAGTCACAAAAATTAAGTATTTTAGTGATGGTCTCTAAGCGACAATGAACTCTGGCCTGGATACTTGTGTTTGAGAAACTTTTATTGCACCCTGTGCAATTAAAATGATTTAGTTTTATTTTGTGCTACTTGTGGTCCTGATTTCCTGAAGTTATCTTGAATTAAGAAAAAATGGCTTTCTCTCATTCTGCAGCCTTGCCTCTTGTACTGCGCCTTGTTGTGTTGAGGGTTCACTTGAAGTATTTATTACTTGGTAGTTTAAAACAAAATCTCTAAAAACAAACTTTGAATAGCATTTCTGTTTCAGGAAAACATTAGTTGATATGGGAAACAAATACTTAGGGCAGAGGTGTGGTATTTTTTCTTTTGTGTCCTGATCCAGATGGAACTGAAGTTAGTGGAAAAAAGCTCCTGTTAATTTTCAATGGATGTTTGCGTTAGACTGCTGTGCTTCAAATGCAATACGAGTGTGCAGTTTAGACCCCAGTATCCACTGTGAGCCCTTAGCTAATGTCTGAAGACCTGATCTTGTGCTTTCTAGAGCTAGTGACTGCATGGTATGCGAGATAATAGAGTATATAACTTCTTGTGTGTGTGAAATTTGATCTGTTTGACTAATGGAATTTATCCAGCAGGGAAGATTTGGGTTTGGTTTAGGATTGTTTTGCTTTTATTTTTAACTGTCTGTAAGTTGTTGGGGTGTTTTTTGTTTTTTGGTCCATATTTGTCTTGATAATGGACGTGCTTTATTCTCTCAAATTTAGGGAGATCAAGTGTGACACTGTTTGACAAACTTCTGAAATTATTCCAACTATATACAGAATAAGCATGTAAATGACAATACAAAGACTTGTTTCTGACTCTGTTCAACCGCACAGGGAGCGAGCTGATGTATAGTGTTTGGTTTCAGCCCCTCAGAAAAGGCTCTGTCTATATATTAGAGTAATTGCAGTTGACATCAGCAGTTTTGTGTACAAGAGTGTATTTAAGTAGGGAATGAGGGAAGATCTTTTTAATGTACAGCCAGAATTGGAACAGAGTTGTCATCATCAGTAGTAATTTTATTACTGTAACACACAGAATTAGGGAGTTTGGTATGTAATTTAAAAAAGAAGCTTAAGTTTTCAAGATGATAGGGATGTACCTACTCAGTCCGTAGTACAACAATGACCTTAGATGAGCTAAAATAAGGGTGAGGCTAATCAAATCTCATGTTTCAGCATATAAGGTGAATATCAGGGAAGTATATTTTCTTAATAACCAGTGCTTGTTCATTTTGACAAGGTGAACTTTATTTGGGATAAGAGATTTTTTTGCCTTCCTGTGAAGGATTAGATGTTAGTCATAGCTACAGACAGGATACCAGATCAAGCTATCGCTGTAGCTTTTCAGAGTAACTTCTGGCATTCCTAGTGTGCCTACATCTGCATGAGGAAACAAAAGAACATTTTTCTCCCAGAATAACAGTAGGGGAAAAAAAGGGCAGAAAAATAAATAGTGAGCACTTACTTTCTCTCTTGTAAACATTTTGATAAATTTAGGAAACATAATTGGGGATTGCAGTATTTTATATTATATAAGAAATGTAGTAATTCCCTAAGGCTCATTTTGAGAGACTAATGTCCTAAATGAACTTAAAAAATAATAATTGTTGAAGGAATATCAGTCCTTATATTTTAACAGTCTGCTTGCATGTATTGAAGCTATGTGCTAACTTGACACTTAGTTTTCTAATTTCTCAGTAGATTTGATACCAGAAATTTGTCATAAATTTAGGATAGAATCTGCAGATGTATGCTTAGGTTCCTAATTCTAATGCAAATGATTAACACATGGAATGTAAATTTGAATAAAGCATATAATAATGAATGTGGATTTTTAAGGTAATGAATTCATTTTATAAAACTGCATTGTAAGGTTTTGTTCTGACCTTCAAAAAATCTGTTTGTTTTTATTTTGAGTTAATAGTAGAAGAGTTCAGTTGATAATGTGATCACACGTATTTAATCAGGTTTTAGGATGGCAAAAATGCTCTTTATTAAAGAGTTAGTACAGTATGAAATAATAGGTAGTATTGGAAAAGTGAGCCAGTATAGCTCAGTGAGTTCAGTATAATATGGACTAAAGTGGAGATACTTCAAGAAATTCCACAATTGGGCAGAACTGTATAAAAGAAAACTGCACCTTTCACTTTATCACAAATTGTTAGATCAGACTCTCTTATGTTCCTATGAGCCTATGATCTACAGTACGGGGAGGCAATGTTTTTTGGCTGGAGTGCCAAAAAAAAGCACAATGCCTACTTTGGAAGGTGTCAGGGTGCTGGCATGCCAGAAAAACAAAACGATGCCCTCCTTGTGCCCCTTGCCCTCTACCCAAAGCCCCATGCCCCCCAGCCCTGCTCATGCACCAGACCCCCCAGCCCTGCTGTCCCGTGCCCCCCACCCAAAGCCCCTGCCCCCAAGCCCTGCTTGTGCTCCTGTCCCCCAGCCCAGGCTCTGTGGCTATCAAGAGCTACCCAGAACCTGGGCCAGCTGCAAACAGCTACTGCCTCCCAGCCCTGGCCCCAGCTGCCTCACAGCCCCAGACCTAGCCCCAGGCTCCGGGGAGGCAGCAGATACCGGTGATGCTCCCCACTGTGCTGCCCTTACCATTGCTTCTGCAGAGCAGCATTGGAACCCGGCCACAGCGGCTACCTTCCCAGAGCCCAGGGCTGGGGCATGGAGGCAGCAGTTGTTTGCAGCCAGCCCAGGTTCTGGGCAGCTGCTGATAGCCATGGAGCCCGTGCTGCTTGTAGCAGGGCTTCCATCCTCCCAGCCACCTGGTGGGAGCAGCCCAGGCTCCATGGCTATCAGCAGCTACCTAGAGCCTGGGCTGGCTGCAGTTGGGAGGCTACAAACAGCTGCTGCCCTCCCACCCCAGCTGTCTCCTGGCCTTGGGCTCTGGGAAGGCAGCAGGTGCTGGCACAGTGTCTGTTGGGGCTGGGGCAGGGAGGCAGCAGCTGTATGTAGCCTCCAGGCTGCAGCCAGCCCTGGCTCTGGGGTAGCTGCTGCCAGCCATGGTTCTTGGGCTGCTCCCAGCAGGTCTTGCAGCCTCCCAGCCACCTGCTGGAAGCAGCGCGGGTTCCCTGCTGACAGCAGCTACCCAGAGCCAGGGCTGGCTGCAGCTGGGATACTGCAAACAGCTGCTGCCTCCCCGGCCCCAGTGCCTACCAAGGAAAATGGCCTCATGCTCGGCATGCATGCGGGGGGGTTACCAACCCCTGATCTACAGCGTGACAATGAAGATCCAGAACCTTTGCAAAGATGAATCCCAATATGCTGTGATAGATTTTCTTCTAAAGAAATAGCAAAAATACATTTTTTCCACATATGCCTTTTTGTCTGGTCAAAAAGTAGTATTTCTTTTAAAGACTTTTCTTGGTCATGTGTAATAAAGACACCAGCTTTCTATTCTCTGAGGCTGCTCTGTGTTATGTTGGTTTGTAAGCTGGTTTTATAGATGTATGCGTGTGCCCCCCCAGCTCAGCAGGTCAGTCAGTGGGGGAAGAAAAGGGGTGTGGACCAGATTAAGTCCCCTGTGGTGAGGACAGAGTTTGGCAGAGGCTTGTAAGGTGAGTGGGGCTCTGGCTGGCTGGGTGATGGGAGGATTGAGCCTGGGTGGCTTGTCCAGGGGCATGGTGGGGGGTGCTCCTGCTGCTGTGTGCACCCCAGTGGAGGCCCTGGAGGACACGTGCCCTCCCCCACCTGTGTGCAGCAGAGGTGGCTGCCACTGTGGGCTGGGCTTTGCTCCCTGAACCCCACTGTAGCTGGCCTGGGAGTGGCCCAACACTATGTGCATCAGCTTTGCATAGGTCAGGGGGGTGGGAATGTGCCTCCCTTCCCAAATGCAGGGCAGTGTGGGTGGCTGCAGCAGTTGTAAGCTAGGGAGCGGGGCAGAGGCAAGCCCTGCATAGCTGGGGCGGGTCATGGCATGCAGCCACGAGCAGCTTGTCAGGGGAGCATGGAGTGGGGGGCACTTGCCCCCGGATCTGTACATATGGCAGGCTGGGTCGGGGCAGCACTGCACTCTTCCCAGCAGGGGCATTCAGTCACGTTGCGCTCAGGCTAGGCCAGGGATGCACCCCACAGGCTGGATGTGGCCTGCCAGGCTATTTTATCCGGCCCACGGTGCCCCTAAAAAATTTTAAAACTTAATATTTAGCTGCCCCTGGCTGCCTGTCATACAACCCTTGATGGCTTGTCAAAACTCAGTAAGTGGCCCTCCA